CTGGCCACACACACACACACACACACACACACACACACACACACACACACACACACACACACACACACACACACACACATACACACATACACACCACACACACACTCACACACACACACACCTCAGACCACAGACCTGCCCATCGCGGAAGCGATGATAGCGAACAGCTATGTTAGACATAGCAACTTGTGCTGGGATTACACCATTCAACAGCTTGCAAGGCTGATGAATTGACCGCCACTATTTTTAGCCTGGTGTCCACCACACAGCTGATTGAAGTGACTTTTTCTGGCCACACACACACACACACACACACACACACACACACACACACACACACACACACACACACACACACACACACACACACACACACACACACACACACACACACACACACATACACACCACACACACACTCACACACACACACACACCTCAGACCTCAGACCTGCCCATCGCGGAAGCGATGATAGCGAACAGCTATGTTAGACATAGCAACTTGTGCTGGGATTACACCATTCAACAGCTTGCAAGGCTGATGAATTGACCGCCACTATTTTTAGCCTGGTATCCACCACACAGCTGATTGAAGTGACTTTTTCTGGCCAACACAGCTGATTGAAGTGACTTTTTCTGGCCACACACACACACACACACACACACACACACACACACACACACACACACACACACACACACACACACACACACACACACACACACACACACACACACACACACACACACACACACACACACACACACACACACACACACACACACACACACACACACACACACACACACATACACACATACACACCACACACACACTCACACACACACACACACCTCAGACCTCAGACCTGCCCATCGCGGAAGCGATGATAGCGAACAGCTATGTTAGACATAGCAACTTGTGCTGGGATTACACCATTCAACAGCTTGCAAGGCTGATGAATTGACCGCCACTATTTTTAGCCTGGTATCCACCACACAGCTGATTGAAGTGACTTTTTCTGGCCACACACACACACACACACACACACACACACACACACACACACACACACACACACACACACACACACACACACATACACACATACACACACTCACACACACACACCTCAGACCTCAGACCTGCCCATCGCGGAAGCGATGATAGCGAACAGCTATGTTAGACATAGCAACTTGTGCTGGGATTACACCATTCAACAGCTTGCAAGGCTGATGAATTGACCGCCACTAATTTTAGCCTGGTATCCACCACACAGCTGATTGAAGTGGCTTTTTCTGGCCAGTGAATTCCTATTTTTCATTTTTTCATTTTTTTACACACACGCCCCACCACATACTCGGGCATACACTGGCTGTTGGTAACCACCCAGGAGAATGAAAGAAGAGCTAGGAGAATGAGAAAGAGAAGAAAGACGCGTGCGACCATATTCGTCGGGAATTGAACCCGCAACCTCTCGATTGGAAATCGACTGCACATACCACTGCACCATATGGGACACACACACACACACACACACACACACACACACACCACACACACACGTGCGCACACACACACATCAGGGCAGTCCTTCTTTAATGGGATCAAGTACAGGTATGTCACCAACTAACTTGAGACAGACGGATGCAGACAGGCACGCGAACAGACAGACAAGAAGCACCAAACAGGTAGACACGCAGCCACACACGGCACGAGTGCTGCTCACTGCAGTGTGGGGCGAATGCAGCTTGCCGCACCTCCTCACCTTTCCGTAAGATCTCTCTGTGTGACTGCAAACTGCTCCGCGGTCAAGCGCTGCCGTAGTTCTTGTTCGGTAAACACCAACTGGTTGTACAGCACAGGTCATGCACACACAAAAAAAAACAAAAACAAAAAAACAAAAATGCTCAACAGTGTAGATACGACAAAGTCAACGGGCAGTGATGGCGTACCTGCTCTTGTCCTAGCAGCATGCTCTGACCTCTTAGCTCCATCAGTAACTCTCATCTTCAACAAGTCACTTTCCGAAGGGAGATTTCCATTATCCATGAAACTTGAAAATATCACCCCTGTGTACAAGAGCGGCGACCCTACTAAGGCCACCAATTTCAGACTTGTTTCTCTGTTGCCTATTATCTCAAAGATCCTTGAGCGCAACGTACATTTGCAACTCACTGAATTCTTGACCACCCACAGCCTCTACCCAGATTGCCAGTTCGGATTCCGGAAACAGCACTCAACAGAGGATGCTGTTGTGATGGCATCGGAGGCCTTTACCAATGCCAAAGACTCCGGACTCTCAACTTGCGCTGCCTTTGTTGACATGTCGAAGGCATTCGACAAGGTTCAACATGGCACCCTCATCCGCGACCGCTTCAGTATTGGTGTTGGTGGAAGTGCGCTGAAATGGTTGGCAGACTACCTAAGTGACCGGCAGCAAAGAGTTGTCATTGGGAACCAGCACAGCAAGGTATTTCAGCCCAGCAGTGGTGTGCCCCAGGGTTCCGTACTTGGTCCTCTGCTGTTTGTCCTCTATGTCCGTGGTGTGGCAGCTGAAGTGCAACCGCATGGTGTGCAGACAGTTTAGTTTGCAGATAACATCATGCTCTATATTCGTAGCAGGGACAAACATCAGCTGGAACGTATGTCTTCTGCAGTTACGCACATGGTCAGATGGCTTGCCAGCAGGAACCTGGTACTAAACGAGAGTAAAACCCAGATTTTGTTCATCCCCGCCCACCATTCTGTGAATCCTATGTGCTCTGGAGTTCAACTGGCACAAGTAGAATCCGCGAAGTATCTTGGTGTCCACATGGACCAAGACCTCATTATTCAAATAGGGCTTTCAAATGCAAGATCATAACGTGAAGCAACTTGAAAGAATGAGCATGTATGTGATGTGTATCGGTGGAATGCATGCAGGGCGATAGTGTGGGTTCGAATCCTAGGTTATGTCTTAAAAAAAATGGGAGAAATGAAAAATTTATAACATCCCTGTGCTTTTTTTGCCTAGGTCATCAAGGTGGTAAACGGTATCGTATTACCCTCGAATGCAAAGAGAAAGTTGACTCTCGCTAGGCAAAAAAACATAGCGTAGGGCCCTGAGCTTCCAAGCTCTCTCGTTTCTAACGAGTTGACGAATTTGAAAGAGTCGCTAAAACATTTGAAGTCGTTATGTGCAAAACGATATGTACATGTACAGTCACTTGCCGGTTTTGAGACAGAATTCTTTAGAATTTCACCTCGCTAATGCACAAAATCCGGAGATCGTTAACTTTAATTGACGTTAAAATGTCTGGGCTTACAGTACTTTTATTTTCCGTACTTTCGGTGCATCTGCTTCATACCTAAAATTTCAATACACCGAACAAACACCAACTCACAGACTCCAATAGGAAACTGCTTCTCTGTAGAGGAGACGGTTTCAAATAGGAAATAGGTTGCAAACCGGAACGGACTCAATATCCACTTTCTCTCTTGGTGTTTTGATTAGAAAACATACGTCACAGTGAGACTACGATGTGTTTTACTCAGAGCCAAAATTTCATGGCTCTGCGATAACCAGAAGCGCCATACCAAGCAGGTGAGTTTTTGACGTGTTGCTTCGCACTGCGACTTGAGTTTTACGTCTTTCGAAAAATCAACTTCTTGTCGCAGGTAAACAGCGGCTCGCCTCTCGGCATTAAAGCACCTTATAGCAATGAAAACTAATGGAAGCACACACAAGGCTTATTGTTACTCGGTACTGGCCGTCGTGGAGCAATAGCATTTTACATGTACCTAACTTCAGAACTCAGGAGTGAATTTGACGTGCACTCTAAAACCTTTCCGGTTTGGAGCCACCTCTGATTTGAAGCGAAAAACTGGGCAATTCGGAGGCAATGGGCCAACACAAAGGAGTGGCTCAGTTCGAGCGGCTCTGGCCGTAGACTTAGAGCAAACTTCAACATGCCAGTTTCCTTCCACAAACATCTTTCGAGTGAACTATCCACGCTGATGATCGGTTTGGGTCTCCACAACTTTGGCTGTCAAACCGTTCCGGTATCGAACCGTCCCCTCTACCTAACATTTCTGTTCACCTAGCCAGTTACCTGGCGTTTTGCCCACATACCGAAAATATTCCCACACACTTGTGATTTGTAGTAACGAAGCTAGTTACAAGATGTCTTTGGTGCGTTTGTAGAACCACTACATGGTGTCAGAATTGGTTTTCCTGTAGTCTTTGGCCTCGTGAGCGGTGATGGCTCGTTTCAACCCTCCAGCGCCTTTCGACTTCAGCTCACCGGACCAGTGGCCCGCGTGGAAACTCCGTTTCACCCGTTTTCGTGCCGCCACCAAACTGAGTTCCGACCCGGGAGAAACTCAGGTGGCCACTTTGTTGTATGCTCTCGGACCCAACGCCGACTCCTTGTTCGAGTACCAACTCGGACTATCCGAGGACGACAAGAAGAAATATGACGAGGTCGTCAGTGCTTTCGACACGTACTTCCGCCCCTCTACCAATGTTGTTCATGAACGGGCTAAATTTGAACAGCTTGTACAACAACCCGGCCAGACCGTAGAGGAGTTTGTCCGTGCTCTGTACAAAGCTGCAGAGTATTGTGAGTTTGCTGGCACGAAGGATGAGCGTATCAGAGACCGCTTCGTCGCCCACATGCTGGACAAGCGGGTGAGTCGGGAGCTGCAGATGAAAGACAAGAGCGAGCAAACTCTCGCCAAAGTTGTTGCGTTCGCACGGCACGCCGAAACTGTCCAGCAACAGGTTGCAGCCCAATCGCGCAGTGGCTTGGCCGCCGCCAGCTCGATTTCAGACGATGATGCCTCAGCCTCAGCTGTCCAGTCGCACCGTGGTGGTCGATCTATGCCGAAGAGCAGACCGCATGGTAGCTACAAATCTGCAGCAACGCCGCCTGCGACCGAATCGAAGTGCCCGAACTGTGGTGGAAGCCACCACTCGCAACGCGATCAGTGCCCAGCCAGAGGCCAGTGCTGCAAAGCCTGTGGCAAGCGCAACCACTTCGCGCGAGTTTGCCGATCGAAACCGTCCACCTCTGCCGTCACGAACGACTCTCCGGACTCTCTATTTGTTGGCCACACGACGTGCGCACAAAGTGTAAGTGATTCACCCTGGTTGGCAGATCTAGCTATCGGAAAGAGTGTAGTCCAGTTCAAGCTAGATACTGGAGCTGATGTCTCTACCATGTCCGTGCAATCATACAATACACTGCAGCCCAAGCCGTCCTTATCTGCTACTAGTGCCCAGCTGAGAGGAGCGAATGACCAGACTATGCAGGTCCTGGGTGTATTTGAGGCTCACTGCTCCTTTCAATCTCAGTCCACTACCATACCCATCTTTGTTCTAGATGGTGCCAGCACTAGCCTGCTCAGCCGATCTGCGTGCACAGCACTGGGTCTAGTCCAGCGTCTGGCTGAAGTGCAAGGTCCAGTCCCACTCGTACAGTGTATGGTTGGTCCTGCTGCGCAGATTCACTTAACTTCCGACGCCACACCGTATCACTGCCTGACAGCTCGCAGAGTTCCTCATCACCTGTATTCGAAAGTACGTGAAGAACTGTACCGCATGGAAGATGGCGACATCATTGCGCGTGTCGACGAACCCACAGACTGGTGTTCGCCTATGGTGCCCGTCCTCAAACCTAACGGCAAGGTACGCATCTGTGTCGACCTGAAGCGTCTTAATGCGTCTGTCAAGCGGGAGACATTTCAGCTGCCAACGTTAGAAGATGCCCTGTCTTCACTGGCCGGAGCGACTGTGTTCACGACATTGGACACTGCTAACGGATTCTGGCAAGTCCCACTCAGTCCCGACTCTGCCCGTTTGACCACCTTCATCACGCCGTTCGGCAGGTTCTACTTCAAGCGACTGCCATTCGGCATCACATCAGCACCTGAGATTTTCCAGAAGCGTCTCACCAACCTTCTGGACCAGCTCCCCGGCGTGTTCGTCTACATGGACGATATCATTGTCTCTGGCCGTACGCGAGAAGAACACGACCGTAACCTAGCTGCCGTACTAGACATCCTGCAGAAAGCCAACGTCACGCTGAACATGACGAAATGTCACAAGCGTCAGGCCGAAGTGAAGTTCCTTGGTCACATCTTCTCCGCCAAAGGTCTCCACCCTGACCCAGCGAGAGTGTCCAGCGTCGCTAATCTGAAGCCGCCCAAGAACGTCACGGAACTGAAGCGCATTCTCGGCATGTTCGCGTTCATGTCACGCTTCATTCCCAATCTCTCGGAAGTCAGCGCTCCACTGCGTCTTCTACTGGGGCATCACACCGCATGGGAGTGGTCTGCTACACAACAACAGGCCCTGGACAAGCTCAAACAGCTTGCCACCAATGCGCCCTGCCTCACGTTCTTCGACCCAACCAAGCCCACGGTCATCAGCGCTGATGCCAGCAGTTACGGCTTGGGAGCTGTCCTATTGCAGGAGCATGACGACGGAATGCGCCCCATTGCATTTGCCTCACGCAGCCTCACCACTACTGAGCAACAGTACGCGCAGATCGAGAAGGAGTGCTTGGCTGTTGTCTGGGCTTGTGAGCGATTCCATGGCTACATTTACGGCAACTCGTCCCTCACTGTCCAGACGGATCACAAACCACTCATCCCGCTGATCAATACGCGTGATTTGAACCGTGTCCCGATGCGATGTCAACGCCTCCTGATGCGCCTGCTCACGTACAATCCAGCCGCCGTGTATGTCCCTGGCAAAGAGCTAGTTGTTGCCGATGCTCTGTCTCGCGCTCCGCTCGCCTGTGACGACACGCCTAGTCTCCAAGACGAGATCAGCATCAACCTCGCATCTTACATCGGCGAGATCGTGTCGGATGGTAAAGCCCGTGACATTGCTGACGCCACCACACAAGATGAGACGCTCAAGCAAGTCCTCCACTTCGTCCAACACGGATGGCCGTGCAACCCACGTGATGTCGACGACACTGTGCGCCCATACTTCCATGAACGCCAGTTACTGTCCTGTGAGCAAGGTGTGCTGTACCATGGCTTCCGCATTGTCATGCCACCCTCTCTGCAGCCTGAGATGCTCGAGAAGCTCCACGAGGGACATCAAGGTGCAACGAAGTGCAAGTCTCGCGCCCGCCATTCCATTTGGTGGCCAGGCTTGTCAAGGCAAATCGACACGATGGTCGCTACGTGTGAAGTGTGCACCAAACACCGCGTCCAGTCGACCGAACCACTGCAACCCGTCCAACGCCCAACACTGCCGTGGCACACGGTTGGTGCAGATCTGATGGAATTCAACGGCACGACTTACCTCGTCATTGTTGACTATCTCTCGCGTTACCTCGATGTCGTACCGCTGACTGCCACAACCTCGATTGCTGTCATCAAGCATCTGCACCGCATCTGTGCCGAGCATGGTTTCCCGTCCACCTTGGTTACAGACAACGGTCCTCAGTTTGCCAGCGAAGCGTTTACTGAGTTCTGCACAGCAAACGACATCACCCATCGCACTTCCAGTCCACGGTATCCTCAGTCGAATGGCGAAGCGGAACGTGCAGTTCGCACCGCCAAGAATCTCCTGCGGAAGGCCGAAAGCCTGCAAGATGCACTCTTGGCTTACCGCACGACACCGCTGAGCAACGGCTATGCCCCATGTCAGCTGTTGTATGGCCGCCAGCTCCGTACCGGTCTACCTGCAACGACTGAACAGCTGGAACCGAAATGGCCTGATCTCCCAAGTATTCTGGAATCGGAAACTCAGTCCCAGGAACAGCAGAAGTTGCACTACGACCAACGGCATGCAGCTAAGCCTCTCGCGACTCTACAGCTTCATGACCGTGTATTCATCACCGATCTCGAACGGGAGGGCAAGATAGTAGAGCAAGTGTCCAATCGTTCTTACCTCGTTGAGTCTGGTCACTCTACTGTTCGCCGCAATCGTCGTCACTTGATCCGACTGCCACTGCTAGAAGCAGAGAAGCCGACAGTCGAGGTTGAGTACGGGGGCACAGCAGCTGATCCAGTCCGTCGCTCTGCTAGAGCTCCTCAGCCTGTCAACCGCCTCATTGAATCATGCTAATTCAGCAACGTGCCGAGACGCATCTGCCGTCGTCTCTGCACATCACTCTTTCACTGCAACTTGCTCTACAAACAATACCTACATTATCGAATAGTCTTTGGACTCCTCATCTTCTCTATTATAGCCTGTTTAATCTCAGAGGGGAGATGTAGTGGATGCACATCCCACTGTTTGTCATTGTATCCTTTTATGTAACATGTATGCATTCATCCGGCCGCGCTGTGCGACATGCCAGTTGTACCGTACGCACTTTAGCTGTACTTGCCTGCCTGGCTTTTCCTTTGATCTCTCTGTCGTTCTCTGTATTCCCACACACTTGTGATTTGTAGTAACGAAGCTAGTTACAAGATGTCTTTGGTGCGTTTGTAGAACCACTACATTGAGCACCTAAAATTTGTGAAATTAGAGTAACCGGAACAGGTCCAGGCCGCCAGCTTTGCACTTTGGGTCGAATTTCACTGAACGCAACCGTAGTTTGTCCATGTATGAAATCAAGCAGTGCACGCTCAGCTTAGGAGGTCATGATGGCTGAATCTTGGCCGAGCCTGTGGCCCAAGGGCTACAGGCATGGGCAAGATTCAGCCATCATGACGGACAGAGCTTGCTTGATTTGATTTCTTACAATATATCAGGACAGGTCAAAGGCCGAAAGGTCAAATTATTCCCACAATCTGTCCCTTTGGAAAAACGCGGCCAAGAATTCAAAATTCTGCGGCAAATTCCGCGGGGTAAAGAGGGGTTTTCTGCGGCATTTTCTGCTGTAAAATCAAAAATCTGCGGCACTTTCTGCAAGTTTTTCACCCTCCTCGTAGAGGATATGACATCTCCTCGTAGAGGATATGACAACTAGTCGCATGAAAGAGCACTTTTCATACTATCCTTTGCAGTCACAAACTGAATAAGAGTGAAGAATCTTGGAGAGACCTGCACTGGCAAGAGAAATGTGCTCAAACAGATCGCAAAGTAGTTTTTCTGCTGCTTTCTGAGTGATAATTTTAGTAATTTACCCTAAAAAATTCAGATTCCGCGGGCAAAAGTGTGGATTCCGTGATTTCCGCGGATGATGGCAACTTCTGCGAAATTTGCCGCGGCCGCGGAATCGCGTTTTTCCAAGGGGACAGCACAATGACGTCAATCGGTCTTGATGGTCTGATTTCGCCCACGCCGGGAAGGTCACTTATATGATGGCCTGGGCAACGATCACGTGTTGATTATCACGTTGTTGTTGCCCATACAAATCATGTCATGTTTAGTATGCATATTCTTGTTGCTTATCCACATTATTATTTTCTAGTGTTTAAACCGAACACGGATTCTTCGAACGAATAATCTATCGAATAATTTCGCCCTCCATCGAACGAATATTATTCTATCATACGCATGATGGCATTTTTCAACACTTTTTCAGCACTTTTTAAGTAGTTTTTTAAATATTTTTTTGCTGATTATCGGATTTTGTTATGTGGGGGTGCAAAACCGGTTAACCTGTACCGCCAAGAGTACATAACCCCCCCCCAGAGTGTGCAACGCTTGATCCAGCTCTGCATAGGGTCTTGGTCGAAAGTGGTCAAAGACCGAAAATCACATTCACTGCATCCATGTTTCCCTCGTATGGAAAGAACAGAAGTACATGTACATGTACATGTATTACTAGATACCGATAGGAGATTAAACCTTGGAGGAGAAGTGATTGAGAAGAAATACTACGAGCAGATGTACGCAGTGCAAATATCAGTAAGGTCAGCAACTGAGCATAGATGGGTTTTTTTTTTTTTTTTTTTTTCGATTTCTGATAATTCCTACGACTATTCGATTATTCGTTCACCCCACGAATATTCTAAATTATTCGATTATTCGATTATTCGTTTCAACACTATTATTTTCAACTCCCTTTTGAATAGAAAGTTATTTTTATTTTTAATGTTTTGTGCTGCCGACTTATATAATTTTGTGGTAAAAAAAATAATACGTTCAAACATGTTTTTAGCAAGGCGTTACCTGTGGCTCTGGCGCTTGATTGAGAATATTCTGAGAGGAAGCGCCGCTGCCACTGCTGCTGCTGCTGCCCGCGCCCATTCTACTGGTTGTTGCCGTTGCTGCATGCACTGTGATCACGGACTCGAACGCCTCAAGTAACAACAGCAGCCTCGTGCCGAAGAAGAAGAGAGAAAGGAAAAGATTCGGGCTGAAAGTCGTACCGCTTCGGATTATTGACATTCTGATCCAAATCATACCGTACTCGGATCGGAGTCGTAGTACAGTATTACCATTGATTACGGTACGAGTGAAAGTGGCGTGGGATGAGCGATGCCGGATGGGACTTTCAAGTAGTACAGAGACTACAGTGTTTGTGGAATCGGAGCGAATAAAGAATAGATGCCTTTGTTCTCTTCGAGCTACCCTGAGAGTGAGAGTGCAAGAGTTCGGCACTTGTCGTTTGGTTTGATAATACCAAGACTGGCAAGAGTAGATAAACAAGAGTGTGCAACTCCGGATTTTTTTTTTTTTTTTTTTTTTTTTTTTTTTCCAGTGAGCATGTCATGAAAATAAATCCGAGAAGAAAGAAAAAGGCCCAACCCTGCCCTGCCAGTTATTTGGACTTACGGGGGTCGCCATGGCAAATAATAAACATAAAACTGCACACGTTCGGGCTCTCCGCCTTCTCCGTGAAATTATAATACCGTAAAAGAAAACTAGAGGGGAAAAAAGAAGCAACAATGGGGAATAGGAACTGATTTAGGAACCACTTGCAGTCAGTTACACAGGGCAGCGGGCCTCGGCAACGGCCAAGGTAGCAGATGCATCCGCCACATCGCTGACGCGCATGGGGCGTCGCCGAGCACCACGCAAACAAACCATGCTGGAGCGAACCAGAGCAAAGCCAAGTCGGCAGCGAATCCACGCCATTACACGGTTGTACGGCTCCTTCGTCTTGTCGGACAGGAGCCCGGCAATCCGCTTATAGCAGGCTGTTGCCGACTTGCCCATGCCGCCTGTTGAGGAGAGAACGAGAGGTGAAAAAGTTGCATGTTCGATCTCTCGAACACGCTCCTCATAGCAGCGGCGTTTCTCCCGTTCGTGGCGCTGGTAGCAGGAGGGTACTGAGGTGGAGCGATTTGAAGCCGCGAAAGGGTTAAAAACCCGTACGTCGAAGAAAGTGCGGTCAAAACGCCCACCCCAGACACCACTCGCTGCTATATCCAGCCTAGCCTGGGGGTCCGTTATGGCAGAGCGGTAGCGGAATGCTTCCCCAGTTACCGGCTGCAGGTGTGGTTCAGTGGTGACGTTGTTGGCGACCCGTTTGAGGAGACCAGCCGTAACATCTCGTACCTCGTTGTGCCTCAGTGAGGGAAACCCACCCAGAGAGCACGACAAGGCGTGGGCGACGGTGAACGATGCACCACACGGGCAGATCGATGGAAGGGTGGGCTGGCGGCCAGCCATAGCGGAGCGCAAGGCCATCCCGGAACTCACCCTTCGAGAGGGCAAAGCCATGGGCCTTCAGGGGTCTACAGGTCAGCCAAGCCGACGCACCCTTCTCCGCCGCCAGACCGACACAGAGCTGGATATCAGTGTTCTGCGTCAGGATGAACTCTTTGGCTGCTTGGGCCGTTGAAGTGCGGGTACGACTTGCCACCTCCCTCTTAGTGGACCGTACCAGGTCCAGCACATGGCCAGTGCAACTCCGGATGGATTGGCCCACGGCGGAATTTTTTGTTGACGTAATCTTTTCGACGACGCACGCGCTGCGAGCCTTTTGGAGAGTTTTCCCTCGTGCACTTGGCTGGGCTTTACACTACAACTTAGTACAAGGTCGGTGCCCAGCACGTGCTCTCACACTGCTCTGCGGCAAAGCCGCGTTTCTCTGAAAAAAGGTGACGTAAACAAAAAATTCCGCCGTGGGCGCGGGGTATCTGCAGATTGTGCAGGAGAGATCCGGAGTTGCACACTCTTGTTTATCTACTCTTGATAATACGTGTGCTGTAAACCATGGTAAACATGGTAAAGACTTCAACTTCAAGACTTTAGACCTACAGTGTACGTGATCACGTGACTCTTGCTCCTAAAAATCATTGCAACAAAACTCAAAAAAAATTTTTTTAATGAAAAATGCATTCATTTGATGTTTGTTCCTGACGTCAGCTCAGGCGCCGCAGCAAGTCAGTCACTATGGCAACCTATTGCACGTCGAAAGCTTTGTGTTTGACGTCATGCCGTGTGGTACTTTTTACATCATGCATGCATGCTACGAAGATCTACACAGACTGTACTGTGCTGGCAACTGAAATCCGACCGCCTTGGCGGCACGGCGCGCCGCCAAGGGGGTCGGATTTCAGTTGCCAGCACTGTACTGTACGTGTACATAATAATGTATGTGGCTGATAGATTGTGGACTTGCTACAACAAAAATCAAACATTGAACAGTCACACTTCTTTGAAGAGAAAGAAAGGCCTTGCATTTTCTCACTTTGCAGGGTAGACCAAGTCACTTTGAGTTGGCTCGTGAAGACTAACTGGGAGTTCTCGCTGGTGGATGCGCCTGGTACAATGGCTCCGAACAAGCTATTAGCTGTTCTGACGGTGTTGTTTGCATCGTTGCAGATCTGCTTGGCGTTCCCCAAACCTGGAATAAAAGACCTGAGCCTTGAACTGGTTAATCCGGTCAATGTCTCTGTGAAATGGATGACGCTGACACTGTCGGAGAACGCTACCATCGACTTCAAGGGCGCATGCCACTCGGCAGGTGCGGCAACAGTTCATTTGAAATACAGACTACTCATAACGCAGTGTGCCAGTTATTTAGACAGACTCGAAGAAAGTACAGTGCTTCAGGGAGACTTTGGCAAAAATCCAGTGGTGGGGACAGAGTGGGTGGAGATCCCTCTGGATTGCACAGCAAGTACGACCGGTAGTGGCGATCCGTTGCAGTTCACGGAGGTCGCTCCCGAGAGAGCATGGCTGGAGGATACCGCATACCACAACACCTGTCTGGATCCTGCGGCCGGACTGAAAGGGAACGACACCGAGGATGGGGCTGACAAGTCGTCCAAGGTACCTCCAAACAAGCCTGCAGCGAACCCCACGGGAACAAAAAAGCGGTCGCTAAGTGTGAGTGTGAGCGATCTGATGGAGGCCGTTCTTCAAGCGCGCACGCGGCGCAGCGCTCCGTTCTACAAGAAAGTGAAGAAGGAGGTGGTGTGCAAGACGACCAAGCGCCAGGTGTTCGCGCTGGTCTTCGCCGCGCAAGCTGACCCCGTGTCCAACGGTGGTGTTCTGAACGTCACTGTAGCTGTACAGGTGGAGATGAAGAACCACTGGGGATACCTGTCTGCGCTCGACTATCCCAATCTGGTCTTCTATGGCATCATGACCGCCCTGTACTCGCTGTATGCGTTCGGCTGGCTGCTTGCACTCATGTGCCATTACAAGGATTTACTGCGTGTCCAGTTCTGGATTGGCGCCGTCATTGCCCTGGGTATGGTTGAGAAGGTGTTCTTCTTCAGCGAGTATAACCGCGACAACGCCGAGGGCAGAGAGGGCATGTCGTTGCTCGCCACTGCTGAGATGGTGTCGGCGGGCAAGCGCACACTGGCCAGACTTCTCGTCATCATCATCTCGCTGGGCTTTGGCATCGTGCGCCCGCGCCTTGGTCCCAATCTCGTCCTGGTTGTCGGCATCGGTATCGTGTACTTCACGGCCGCGTCGGTCGAGGGGATTTCCCGTGTGGTGGCCAGCTCCGAGGAGGTCGCCACCACCAAGGGACAGGTGATGTCGCTGGCAATCGTTCTGCTCGATGTCGGCATTATCTACTTCATCTACGCGTCGATCACGGACACGATGCGAACACTGCGCTTGCGCCGCAACACCGTCAAGCTATCGCTCTACCGGCACTTCTCCAACGCCATCGTCTTCGCCGTGGTCGCTTCCGTGGCGTTCAGCACGTGGGCGTACTTGCAGTTCCGCTCCTCGGCCTGCATCAAGGACTGGCAGGAGATCTGGCTGCTGGACGGCTTCTGGCACATTCTCTTCAGCTTCCTGCTGCTCTCCATGATGGTGCTGTGGAGGCCTTCGGCGAACAACAACCGCTATGCCTACTCACCGCTTGTCGATCTCGCCAGCAACGAGGACGAGCCGGAGCAGATGCCCAGCGACGCGTTTGAGGGCATGAAGCTGCGTAACCTGGGCCAGCAGCGCAAGACGGTCACGAGCAGTACGGTGGATGACGATCTCAAGTGGGTGGAGGAGAACATTCCCACGTCGTTAGTCGAGGGCGCTGTGCCCGTGCTCATGGACTCTGAGGAGGAAGTGGTGGAGTCGCGGTTCCAGGTCAGCAAGATGCAGTAAGCGTAAGCTAGGGGAGCGTTGCATCGTCGTACGTTTGTGTCACTGTAGAGGTGTGCGCGCACGCGGACCTGTGATCGACAGCGGGCGTCGGTACATGTACGTACCTGTGTACGTCATAATGTGTGTGCGTGTTGCTAACGTCGAGCCAGCTGGCACACGTGCATGTTCCCTCGCTGATGGAAGATTGAGTGTCGTTGTGCGTATCCCACATGTTCATGTTGCTGCATATACGTATGCACGGTTTGCGTGGATGCATGCCTACATCATGCTGACGTCATGATGACATCATGATGACATCATGCTGCCGTCATGCTGACATCATGCCTTGTGTTGTATTTCAGCATTTCTCAGCCGCTGGCGTTGCTGGTGGCGCTGTTACTAGCTGAACTGTATTGCCAGTTTGCGTGTGTGTGTGTGTGTGTGTGTGCGTGCGGTTGTGTGTGTATGCGTGCATGTGTGCACGTACGCGCACGCGCATGTGTAGCGTTTTAACGGCCTCCCATGGCGTCACTACTGGCATCCTTGTACATAATAAGTATAGTATGATATTGTGCTGAGCTATAGCTGCCCTTCGTGCATTATTTGTGCTATTTGACAACATGCTGCTCACCGTTCTGATAATTGAAATGATCTACTTGTGAAGTAGGGTGTGCAGTGTATGTGTGCATGGCATATGCTGGTCTGCATTTGTGTTATTTTATTCTCTATCACCACGCATATCTACGTGCATTCGCAGTACACCCCACTCACATTTTATGCGTGGATGCAGGCACCACCGCGTGTCTTATCCCGGTTCACCTCCCCTCCTCAGTATCTGTGTTCTAGTGGTGGCTCTCTGTGTTTATTGTTGGTCTCGTACCGGCCTTCGTCTTTCTTTTGTTTTGTTATCTAATTTTCGCTATCTGCAAACGTTTGGTGTCCGTTTTCGCTGCACCACAAGGGTGGAGAGTTTATCCTTGGTGCCGCTGATGTTGATTTGATGTCACGATACAGGACAATGGAGTTCTGGTCCCCTAAAGTTGCACTCGTGCCGTGTGTGTATGTGTGTGTGTGTGTGTGCATGTACATGTGCGTGCGTGTGCATATTAGTATGCTGTTCGTTTTACCCCTCACGTTCTGCCCACCGTGATTGTCGTGTCATGGGTCTTGTACGAAATGGGCGGCTGGCAATCCCAGGGCAGTTCTCGTTTCATCGATGCTGCATGCAACAACAGGATGGCTAGCCCGGGTTGCGCAACGGATGTACGTGTACATGGACATACCATAGTAACAATACTCAATCTGCGGCACAGAACTGTTTCGTCCTTTGTGGACTCATCAGCGCAGCACAGAGAAAATCAGGCCGAACCTGATAGCAATGAAAAATAGAATTTCCAAGCCAGATTTAAACCAGGCTCGAACGTACCTTGCCAGAGTGCTCAAACTGAGGAGTCAGTCAGCTCTGCGTCACGCAAAGAGCAAAGGCACTACTCCGCATGAGAGTGCTCCGTAACCACCACACGTACATTGTAAACTATTCTGATGATTGCTTAGTGCGTGAAACTCGCGGAGTTAAAACACTTTTTTCATCCTCTTATTATTGTTGTAGACGATTACATTATTATTATTGTGTGTGTTGTTTGAATGAGTACAATCCTGTTGCCTTTGGTGATGTATGGGCTCAAGAAAGGAGTCGCAAAATACCGGTATTTTTCTACTCCCTCGACCAAACCAAAAGACCACAACCATGCAACAGGATAGTGGACAAACCAGGACCTTAGCCACCAGTCCGGCCGCTCAGGCCATGGCCGGACCTTATTTCGAACAAGTTGGCCCATCCAATCGGTGCAAAATTGGGTCAATAATGTCCATTTCCGGTGAAGACTCCCATTCAGTAGGGCGGTTCTGCTCTGCGTTATGGGAACGCGACGCAAAGAATCACGCGAACTCTCTTCGCGTTCCCGTAACGTAAAGAAATCCTGTTCTGCTCTACGTTCACGTAGAGAAGTCACGTGGAATGTGTACTGGGAATTTCTCCTTCCATATTTGGCAGTTTTCTGCCTGCATGCAGATCCGTACACATTTTCTTTGCGTGTGCCACAACCATGGGTGAACGTAGAGAACTTCATCTATGCGTAGAAATCTAGACCCAAAACACGCGACGCCGTAGACTCTAACCCAGACACCTGCTCTTTACGTGATTTCTCTATGTTTCACGTATAGCAAAACCTCCCTACTAGTGGCCGGAGCATTCCGCTGCCACGGCGCTGCAAGCACTTTGGGTCTGATCATTTCAGTTTTTTAGAACCAGATCGGCGAGGAGACAAATTTAAAACACTGATAAAGCATCCACACGTCAACTCCGCATGTTCCCTTGACATGATCGCAATAATTATAGAAGTCGAACGATGCACTGAAAACATGGAAAAGGTGTTCATAAAAACGAGAAAATAACAAATTTCAAGGAGGTGAAGAAAGAACATCAGCACGTTGTCACATGTCAAAGCGTGCGAGGCAATTCAAGTTCAACATTTGTATTCACCTGCCAAGCAGGTCACTGAGGTGGCACCCATGCACATTGGTTCTTGCGCCCGGGAGGAGTTCAATACGCGGCAACACCAGCCAGAGGATAGCAGCTGGAACAAGTCATCATCAAGGCACAGGCACACAAACATGTGTCAAAACTGTCAATACGTCACAGCTGCAGTCTTGTGCTTACGCAGTCGCTTTTCCGCGACAATAAACTGCATCTCTGTTCCGTCATTGTTCAAGCATTGCAGTGCAAATGGCTGCAGTACAGGTACCGTCTTGTGTTCACGCAATCGCGTTTCCGCGACAATAAATTGCAGCTCTGTTCCGTTATCGTTAAAGCAGTGCAGTGCAAGCGGCCGTGCCCGCCAGGCATGTTTGCATGTACAATGTAGTGTGCCACTGCTTCTGGGTGCAGACTGCTTCCTTGGCAGCAAACCTGGAGTGCCGCCGGGAGCCAGTTGGCTACATGGGTGAAACGACACACTGTCACGTGCGCTCCCTGGCTTGCTGGCAATGTGAAGACTGTCTACGCTGACATCCGGGTTGATCCGATGCGTCGGCACACACCACTGCGTTCATCCCAGTGAACCGACTTCACCCGCAGGATAGTGAGGGGCCAGAGGAGGCTCTCCGTCGATGGCTTGCACACACAGCTCAACTAGGTATAATGCACTCGTGCAGCACTCTCGCGGCAGTGTGGCTCGAGCACGATGATACGTCGGATGCAGGGTGTGGGAAATCTCATAATCTTGGGTAGCAAGTGTCATCTTTAACTCCTGTTGACATAGATATGTGCAAATCCTCTTTTTCCCGCTTGCAACTTTCCCTCAAACCATTGAAAACCTCTTCATACTATCTGATCATGTAGTGACTCGGCGCGGTAGCTGTTCGGTGTGGAACGATCATGCTCCGTGGGACTATTCGGTCTCACGATGTTGGTACTGGAATAATGAGAGCTCCGATTTGCCGGGTGCTGCTGCTGCTGTTGCCGAAGCTGCCTTGGGATGGGTGTTTGATAGTGGTGCCCGTCGTCCTCAAGCGGGGGCGGCGGCCGAGGTGGAGGTGGTGGTGAGCCGGGGCTGGGTGGTGTGCGGCTGCAAGCCCTGGCCACACCGTTACCACCACCACTGGAAGCAGCAGCAGCGGTGGTGGCGGCTGCGCTAGTAGTATTGCTGCTGCCCGCGCTGATGCCCGTGCCACTTGGCAGCATATTCGTGGTGATGTCAGGGCTCAAGCTGAAACGCGTGGCGTCCGGCGGCAAACGACCGCTCTCACGATACTTCCTCATCTCGTTCAGGTAGTAACTCGACGGCTGGAGGGTTAGCGATTTGGAGCTATTCTGATCGAAGATGGTCACCTTTTCGGCCGGTCGCGCTTTCGACCGGCGTCCCTCCGTTGCCGTAGCGCCAGCTGTCATTGCCGATGACGACGCTGAAGATGTTGACGACGGTGCAGTGGATGGCGCGGCGTTGTGCCAGCTTGCACCCCTGGCCCGCATCACCTCCTCCTTGGAGCTCGCCTGTATGAGCCGCGGTAGCTTCTCGTCGGCGAAATGGACGCTGCTACGGTTGGAGTTAGTCCCGCTGCTGGCCTGGCGACTGCTGCCGCCACCTTGATAGGACCGCACGAACACGGACGACGAGGAGGCCGTGGAGCATTCGTTGCCGTCAGTGTCGGCGTCGTAGTTACGATACCGGCTGTGGTGGTCGCTGTCTCCGTCGTCATCATCATCATCGTCACTGTCGCTGGGATTGAGCCACGTGAAGGTGCAGGTGTCCCCGCTGCGAGGTGTTGTGGGCTGCGAGTGCGTGACGCGCAGCGAGGCTGATGACCTGCCCGCAGTCTCCAGAGGCAGTGGTGGCACCTGGACATACGTATGAACGGTCAAACCATGGTAACGCAGATGCGCGTGAACACACACACACACGCGCGCGCGCGCGCACAAGCACGTGTACACACACGTCCGCATTCACCCGGCGCAAACTATTCAGTAAATGCACCTAGAGGTCCGGGAACCTGTCGGGTGAAAGGAATACGGGCAGTACCCTGCCCCATGCGCCCTGATGGTGAGGGGGGTGATGGTGAGAGGGGGGGGGGGGGGGGGGGGGTTGTACCTTACATAGCTATGAACAGAATACAGACACTCTGCAGCAGATCAACATTTGATACATTGGATCACCGTTATGTCTGGTCACCGTGCCGACTAACATACATGTCTGGTCACCGTGCCGACTAACATACATGCACATACTCAGGGCGCGTTCGAATTGTCGTCAACTGTTCAAACAAATTGTACAAAGAGATTAGTTGAAGTGTCCCACTAGAACGATTTCTATCATTATAGAGTTTTTCAGTGGAATTGTCATGGCGATGATGACGTCCGATCGGATCGACCATCTCCACGTACTACGTGACGTAGCTATTCCAATCTCTTCGAAACTAATCCACCTCTCCCATCGCATGAGGTTGTGGTTAAGAGGCCAAAATAAGGCCACCTCTTCAGAAAAACGAGACTCCTCGAAAGTCAGAGAGTGACAATTCGAACGCGCCCTTAGGTTGCATCTTTACATGCACTCGCGAACAATCACAGACTCATCAGTCCCAGTAGGTTCTTGGTCAGGTAAAACAACAACAACAACAACAACAACAACAACAACAACAACAACAACAACAACAACAATCAATCCCAGTGTGTGCAATACACACAATGAAACTGTGTAGTAGAAATATAACAACTTGCATACACAGCATACATGTTACAGAGTATGACGTAATTGATGACGTAACCCCAAAGAAGTCTCCCCGGTCTCACCTGACTAACGCTGCTGGGCCGTTGCTTGTAGGGTACGTGCGTGGTCTTGGTCAGTGTGGTGACGTCGATATGATCCTCGGCGTTGGTCTTGCTGAGCAGCGACTCAAACGTCTTGGCTAGGTCCTTGAAGGATGGTCGTGATGCCGGTCGTCTACTCCAGCAGTGCAGCATCAACATGTAGCTATGGGAACCAGAGCAGAAAACGGAATGAGGAAACATAATATTATATTATTTTAGATTCTACCGAGATTTTGTTTCCTTGCAGCACAGAGACCGTATGTGAGTGTTCGGATTGAGTAGAGCAATGTGTATAAGTGGCCGAATGAAGAGGGTGGTAGACGCAGGGGGATTTGGTGAGAAAATGTGCATGGATTTGGGATCCACGAAAGGAGACATACAACACACAAGACAAACACACATACGTGTGTGTGCGCAAACACACACACACACACACACACACACACATACACACACACACACACACACACCACACGCATGCACGCACACACACACACACACACCCACACACACACACACACACACACACACACACACACACACACACACACACACACACACACACACACAGGACCACTACTCACAGCTTATCCGAGCAGGAGTCCGGTTTCCTCATGCGATATCCACCCTGCAGAGTGTCCAGTAGTTGCTTATTGGCTATGGTGTTATACGGCTGTTCGCCGAGGGTGCAAATCTCCCACAGGACAACACCAAACGACCATCTACGGAAAGAAGACGGTGAAAGAGAAAGAGAGCTGTCAGCGCGGGACGGTTTGCGGGAGATTCCATGACATTATGAATTTTGTACATTCCTAAAAATATGATCGCCGACGTCGCAACCACTATTTCGTGTTATTTGTACATGTACTAGTATCCACTGCCATGATAAACTTCTTACTTTCAGCTTGATCTACAGTGCGGCTCAATTAAGTCTGATCGCTTGAGACGAGGAGTGCTTCAAAATACGACCATTTGCACATTGCATATCAAAGTGCATAACGTCACGACTTACACATCATTCGGCATCGTGTACGAGCGCTCGAGCAGGGTTTCAATGGACAGCCATTTGACGTGGTCCCCCTTGGCCAGGTCGTTGCGGGCACTCAGCGAGCTCAGGCTGTAGTCCGAGAGCTTGATCTGGTGACCTTCGCCGAGGAGAATCGTATGCGACGTCAGATTACGATGGATGACTCCCTTTGACGTCAGGTACACCTGGGGCATTGCATATTCAGGTGGGGAAACCATGGGAAATTGTTATGATTCTGACCTCTGGAGTGACTTAACTGATGCCATGGAGATAAAGACTCCGAAGGCAAAGCGAAGAGGATGGTAATCTCTATGCCCTTATTCAGAAAGTACTTGCTAAATTGTATGATCAGTTTCAGAAAGCAATCACTTCTGAAGTAAATAAGACCCCTCTGGGGCGTACATCAAAATATTCTGCGCACGGACGGAAACAGGTGATTCGAGATGCTTTTCTCCTCATGACAGTGTTTTCTGCTGTGGGGAATACACAGTGATAGACATTTCCAGGCCAGCCAGCCAGGCAGTGCTAGACACACACACACACACACTACAAGCTCACCATTGCCTGCACGATGTGCCGGACAAAGTCCATCAACTCATTAGCAGAGATCTGCGTGTGTGAGTTGTGAATCAGGCTGCTGTGTCGGACCTGCGAGAGAGTTCAGCAAGCAAGCAACGTGAATCTCATGGGCATGGAGCATATGACCAACAAAATACCCATGCATACACACACACACACACACACACACACACACACGTATGCATAACTTTACTTGTACACACATATGTGCGCGCACCCCCTACACACACACACACACACACACACACACACACACACACACATACATGAAACCATGTACACGTGTACACATGCATGCCTGTATACACAACAATGTGTACAGGCAATCAATGTGTTCTTTAGAGGAGATTGACATGCAGACAAACAGCCGGACAGACAAGAAGGGCAGGAGAAGTGTAGAAGAAGGGCTTTGACTGACAGGGTAAGGACAGGGACGGGCAGGAGAGGGGCAGGAGAGGGGCAGGAGAGGGGTAGGAGAGGGGCAGAGGAGGGGCAGGAGAGGGGCAGAGGAGGGGCATGAGAGGGGCAGAGGAGGGGCAGGAGATGGGCAGGGGACGGGCAGGGGAAGGGCGGGCTAAGGTCAGGAGAGGAGCAGGGTGGGGCAGCAGAGGGACATGGCAGGGCACTCTTACCCTCACAGAGCCCCTAGCATCTGATATACCACTGTCACTGGTACTTGCTAGCGACATTGTGCTGGATTTCTGAACGGCAAACACGTGCACATACGTACAGATACACGTAAACATACACAACAACAAAGTTAGCAGTTTCCAGTGCCCGCTCCAGAGCCAAGTCAGCGGGGCCAGTGACCCGGTTCATACGGTGGATACTGCATGGGTGGACCTAAGATTGAGACAGTACTACTTATACAAATATATAATTATTTCTAACGAAGAGACCGCTTGATTTGAGGATGGTAGTTATATGGCTTTCATGTAATGAAGTGGCTGCAGTGGAGCTTTCGTAGCTTAAGAGGTGCGGGTGTACCTGGTTAAAATAAATCGTCCGGGTCACACAGCAACCTTGGTGTTTGGGGCTAGGTTCATTTGGCTGATATGAGCGCTTATTCACCTCCGCCTGACCTGGCTCATACGCTGGTGATAAACACAGTGGCTCCAAGTTGACCCCAGCCCAGAGCAGGCACTGATCAGGCATAATGACAACACATACCCCCCCCCCCCCCAGAATCACGGCCTCTCTATGTCCGTGCTTCTTTCTCCAAACAGATACCGTTGGTGTTTGGGTGCTTTTTCTTCTTTCTGTTTTATTTTTTAATAACCACACACCATTTGTTCAGAAAGTGGTGGACATCACGCAAACATCACGCAACTGCATTGAGTGAATAGCAACTAAATGGAGCGGTTGTCAGTTGACAAACCCCTTTTATTCACAAACCATTTGTTGGCACAAAGCAGCAAGAAAGACAGCGATGAGACATACCAAAATCAAAATGGCAGCACATGACCACGGAACTAACCCTGTGTGTTCACGCACACGCACGGTCATACTAATACTATTATGACCAGTATGCACTATATGTATGCACAACTCACCTTGGGTCGCTTGGCACGCAGGTAGGTGACGAGGTCGCCGTACGGTGCGTACTCCTTGACGATACAGAGGGGCTTGACGACGGTGCAGCAACCGAGCAGGCTGACCAGGTGACGGTGCTGTCCGACGCGCTTCAGCAGACCAATCTCACGGCAGAACTCACGCTGATCCTCATCGCATGCAATATCTATGCAAAGTACACACAGTCATCAACGTCGTATTGTAAGACCAGATATTTTAACATCAACTAGAGTTAGCGATCCTTGGGTTTTTGTTGGTTAGCGAAGTGAAATGCTAACGAATTCTGTCCGTCAAAACCGGCAAATGACGATTTTTTCAATTTGTTTAAACGCTACATTTGAATGATCGATAATAATGGTGACAAGAAAGTAACGAAGTGGAAGTGGACGAAGTGGACGAAGTGGACGCAGAAGTTAATAATAGTCTTACAGTATTCCGACTGATGACCAGTCAACCACAGTTGCGCTCGTTGAAATCCGACCCAAAGTGCAAAACTGGCATCCTGGACCATTTCCGATTGTATCTTTTCACTTGTTCATGTGTACATGCAGCCACGTTCGTACATGTTCGGGGTGTCCCCCCCCCCCCCCCCCCCCCCACACACACACACTCGCTCACTCTCTCAGTCTCTCACCTTTCAGCATTTTCACGGTGACCATTTTCCTAGTCAGGCTACTGGCGTGCAGGCTGGTACTTCTCACAACTGGCTGTTTGCTCTTGGTTAGCGTGGCCTTGCGTAGTGAGTTAGACCGATGGAGGCCACCACCACCTCCACCCCCACCACTGCTGCCACCGCCACTAGCACTGGCGCCTCCCGCGGTCGGAGAGCCACCGCCGTTGTATGGCGAGGTTGCCGATGACGACGCGGCGTCTCGGTGGTGCGGCGTGGAGCCATTGCAGTCGGCGCTCCGTCCCACCGGCATTCCCGTCTCGTCCAGCGTTTCCGTGCCAACCAGTTCGGCCTTCATCGTGACGGCCGCGTCGTAGTCCAATAGCAAGTCTTGCAGGTAAAGCTGCAGTATGGAGTATGGGGGAAGATAACATACATATTCACATTGGCATGCAGAAATCCAGGTGTTACCATGCAGAAACTTTCAAATTCGCGAATCAAGACAATTCGCGAATGGCAACACTTTTTGGGTGCAAGATCGATGGTTGTCATTTGCAAGGTTTACTGTCAATGTTATGACGAAGACGGGGACAACGAGCAAGTGAACGCACTACAATGGTGGCAATTGAAATCCGAAATGCCAGTCAAGTGTCAAGTCAAGTCGGCGGAATAGTGCTAGCTCCAGTGTTGGTTACAAGCATGCGCTGGGTTTTTGCAATGTGAGTGCACCGAGCTGGGGTTGGATTTCACTTGCCACCAATACTAAATAGGGCTACACACCTGTTCAAAGGGGATTTCCCATTCGTCCGACATTGCCAGCTCTGGCGGCGTTTTCACCGGCGTCGAACGGCCGGAGGAGAAGGGCGATGCGGTGTTCACCTTGAAGCCCTCGTGCCGCAGCTCATCCTTGGCGAGCCAGGTCAAGCGCTCGGTGTTTAGAGACTCCTGGAGGTCCTCTGGACGCATGCGATGGCGGAGAGACGAGGGCTTGCCGCGGCCGATCTGCTGTAGTTCGGCCATCACCTTGGCCTTCTTCTTCCTCATCGACTGTCGCATGGTGTTGGTGCGAGGACGATGGCTGTTGCTCTCCGGTGTGCTGGGCTCCGGTGGAGTTGCGTCGTGTGGTTGTTGTTTGTGCGCCTTGCTACGGGCTCTGCTGCCGGCAAAGTCGGGCACGTCCAGCTGCTCCGTACTCTTGTACATCGGGCGGAATATCGTCGTGGCCCGGCCGGTGGTGCGGAGGTTCCTCACCGCGGGCCGTGAACCGTTTGGCGTGGCCGATCGCGACGACGCCGGGTTGGAGTCAGGCCGTTGCGTCACGTGCGACTCGCTCTGGTCGACGATGGAGAGCAGGTCTGGTGTGGGCGTCTGTCGCGGCGTCTTGTCCACGTACACCCACGTGGTCTTAGTGCCGTTCTGCAGCGGCCCTGCTGCCTTGCCATTCTTCTTTTCCCCATTGCCATGTGCCTGCAGTGATGTGTGCAGACGTTGTTATGACACGTACACACGCATACATGAATGCACACATACACACACAGACGCACACACATGTACACACACACACATACACACACAGACACACATTTACACACACACACACACACACACACACACACACACACACACACACACACACACACACACACACACACACACACACACACACACACACATGCAATGATAATACACACGTGCTTTCAACGGGACTAAATAAGTGTGCCACTTGTTGACCCGTCAATCCTGTCTTCCTAGATTTAAAAAACCCCGTATCTACGCTTCCACTGGCAAAGGCTCCACTCTGCTCACCTGTTTAGACACGGTAACCGCGCCGTTCACCGACGCACGATTCCACGGCGACCAGGACTCCTTGTCGTCGCCATGGCGATAGCCCAGACCGATGCAGGCCAGCGGCATTGGCAGCTGGCGACGGCGTCTCTCCCGCTCGCGCTTTCTCTCCTTGCGCCGTCGGTTCAGAGCGAGGAAGCAGCAGATGATGATGATGACGAGGATGAGAGATCCGCAGACGGCAAACAGGACCACGGCCAGTGGCTTCTTGAACCAGGCAGACTCTTCGTCACTGGCAGCGATCTTATTCGCCGAATCTGTGGCAAAACGATAAAGAGTATGGCCGTCATGTTGCATGAGATAGGGGCATAGCGAAGGGGGGGTTGGAGTGGGGTGGGGGAGGAAACAGCTGAATCTGATAAAGAACGACCTACATGCAAGTGGTACGTGTGTGAGAGGTAGCAGTGGAGTTGGACTGTGGGTAGTTGGTTGCATTCAGTACAATAATAATTATGTACTTTTGCTTTCTATAATAGCACTTGTGGAGGAGACCACTGCATGTATAACAGCTGACTCCGTGGCGCAACGGTAGCGCGTCTGACTCCAGATCAGAAGGTTGCGTGTTCGAATCACGTCGGGGTCAGATTCACTTTTTTTTCTTGCTTCATGTCCCGTCAACTTTTCTTCTGCTTTTAGCACGTGGTCACACAACACACATTATGATATAAGTGAATGTTCGTTTTCACAGGCTTTGGTTTTTTTGAACCTTTTTCTGAAGTACAGTTGCGTTAACTGAAATCCGACCTGTCAGTGCCCTCAGTGTCATCGATGGTTCTGCAGCTGCAGACTCGTAAAAGTGCAAAACCTTGCTCCGATTGCATCAATGCACTTGTACAGGAGTACGTTCAGCCGTATTCGTACCACTTCCCGGGTGTCAAGGACCGTGCAAGTTGAGGGCGCCAAATAAATAGTCAATTTGGGTTGGATTTCAACAAGCACAACTGTGGAAGCGGCTACTAGCCTTCCTGTACATGCGTCAATTTTCTGTCTACCGAAAACAGAATAGGGCTACTGGATTTCCGCATATCCACGAGAACATAGTGGGTGTTGCCCAAACTCAGTGCATTCTACTGGGGTTAGAGGTTTTGCGAATAATGTCATGACGGGGAGTCAGCAGACCTGCTTATGGGTGGTGCATGACCTCTCTATTATACGAAAGGAAGTGCGATATGCGGAACGCAAATTGGTGATATACCAACACATTTAGGTACTAAGTAGATCTGCATTCATCCCGATGGTTAGCGCTATCGGGCAGTGCTCAAACTCACTTCCTTGCCGTGGAATGTCTCAGTACTCCTTGCCAGTCTGGTGAAGCCTGGTGCCCGACGGTCTGACTGTTCATGATCTGGTTTGGGTGGACTCTAACGCATAACTTGTGCCCCACCGTTTTCCTTATAATATTTCCATTTAATATCTACATTCATTTTTTTTTTTGTATACGAAGCCTATTGTATGTGCAGAATTATTGGATGCACTTCTGTCGACCAGGAGTCGATTCAAAAATCATTTATTGTTCATTGGACTTCAGTGGGATTGGTTTGGCCAGCCACTCTGAACTCCGCTGATCGGCCCTGACGAGATTGAAACAGCCAGCTGTCCGGAGATTCAGTAAAATCAAAGTTTAATGAAAGCGGACACACCCATGCATGACGATTCAGCTATTAAGCCCCCTGCGTGTTTGTGCTTGTGTTTCCAAGGAAACGGCTGGATCGGAAATTGCTTTCCGAATTACGCAGCATTCTCTCCTGTCTACATGATTACAGTTGGAGACAACTATTTAAATATTGAACACACACCCTTTATGTTGTTGAGAGCCTGGCCGAGGTACCACTTCCGTGTACATGTCTATACCAGAACCCCAAACCTGGCCTAAACATGGCCGGATAGTGGGATTTTGATGCCCTTTCTTGATATGGTATTGCAACAATTTGTTATCACAAGTCCAAGTTGAAGCCGAGCCGATAGCACGAAACATCTGGAGTTGCGAGTGGACACCGCCTACTCCCTCAAACCCGGTTGTGCCATCATAAGAAAAGGAAAGAAACACAAGAATTGATGAACAGGCACAACTTATTGGACATATCCAACTATCAAGACACGCTAGTCAAA